GAAGGCGGCTAATCGATAGAGTGTGGAGAAAATAAATGTAAACATAACGACAAGGGAATTAATAAAAAGGTGATAAACAAGATCAAATTTGTAAATAATTTGAATTTCTATAGAGCCCGTTTAGTTCACTGATATGAATTTTTAATTTGAGTTAAAATATAATTTTATATGAAAACTTTTTATTATAGTAAAAAATTTAAATGTGATTATTTTTAAAATTTTTTATTAAAATAAAATTTAAATTTTAAACTCAAATCAGTGAAATGAACGAGCTCGTAATAGTTAGTAGGCGTAAAAGTACAATAAAAGAATAGAGCTCGTTCGGTTTAAAGATTCGTGTCATGGTTCGAATCATAATTTATGGCTCATTACAGTATTTTTTTCTCATAAAAAATAGACATAAATCAAAAATAATTTTAAATTATGATTCTTAATTCTTCAATCAAAAATATCAATAAATCGTGCAGGTTTTGACGGGTAGGTTGGACCGTTGGAGATGAGAAAAATCCCAACTTAAAACTATCCAACTTTATCAGTGGGCTGGGGCGGGCTAGAAAAGGGTTTCGGTGGGCAGGTTGGCTTTTTTGTTTTCTATTTTTTATATTTAGAGTCTAGATTTTTTATTCCTGCCGCGTTGCTCAACAAGACAACAACTATGACCGCGGCTTTTTCAACTGCCTTTTCTTTTTAAACCCTTTTTCTTGTCTTCCAGCGTGATTTGGCTCCATAACTCATAACATGTACGGCCATTGGTAGCTCGGCCAGGGGGGGTAACCCAGAAAGGTTTCTCCATATGGTGAATAGTCGGCTCTCAATCTAAGGACAGTATTGAAGTAATGGCTGTTTCCAGCATCGAATAGGGAGCCCCCAAAAACGAACAATGGCGGGTGTTTTGGCAGCATCAAGTTATTGTCGGCGCAGCCACTTGCACTGTTCATTATAAGCAGAAATATTGCAAAAACACCCCCACGAGAACATGGGAGTACTCATTGTTAGCGTTTACTTTGTGATAATAATAATCTTCTCCTTAATCCTCAAGGCTCAAACACTGATGTGAATACATGTAAAGTAGGTTACCCACCCAGTGGCGGAGCTTTGAAGGGCCTGCCCCCACTGGTTTTTACAAAATTAAAATCAATCATTTAGAAATTTTAACTTTTTTTTTTAATTTTGCCCCAACGGAGACATAATAGTTTCATTTATGCCCCTCTAAACTTTACTTCTTTTATTTTGTTTCTATTTTTTAATAAACAACTTTACTCTTTTCACTTATGAGCTATTGTAAAATGCTTTATGATTTATATATATATATATATATATAGAAGCTTTCTATGGTTTTTTTTTTTTCATATTTATACCCCGCATTTTGAGGTTACAAAAAGTATACTCTATGGTCTCGTTCAGTTTACCGATTTGAGTTTTCAATTCGAGTTAAGATGTGACTTTATATGAGAGCTTTTAACTGCAGCAAAAAAGTTAAATGTGACTTTTTATGAGAGTTTTTAACTGTAAGAAAACTGAAATTAAAAATTTGAATCGGTGAAATAAACGAGACCTATATTTTAAACTGTATTACATTTATGTCTTTGCATTTTTTGATACATTTATGTCTTCACATTTTAAATTCATGTTAAATATTGTATTATAATTTTTTCTGTATATTTTTCATGCTATTTATTTTTTTTACCAAAGAAATTATACTGTTACTGCTTTATTGAAGTTGAAAGCTGGCTCTGTCACTACCCACCACTAAGTTATACATGAAGCTTTCAATAAATTTCCCGGGCACATGTTGTATTTGTGTTATACTTTGTTTCAAGAGTACAATTGTTGCGAAAATATCTTCTTGAGAATGAAAAAATTATAAGGACTAATGAAAAAGATGTAGCCATATACTAATTAGTTAATACTAGAGTGTGATTGACATGCGTCAGGTAACCACCACGATGAATAGGGGTGGCCGTTAAGATTTTTTATTTTTAATTTTCTTCTTTTTCCTTTTAAATAAGGTTTATGATTATTATCACTGATGATGTTGTTGAATTTTAGATCATTTTTATTTTGTCTTTTAAATTTTAAAAATTCTAATTCTTTTTAAATTTTAAATTTTTCTCACTTAATTTTTTTATGTTGGAATATATATTAAAAACATATAAAAAAGAGAGAATAGTGTAGTCATATGCTTTTTTTGTTTGTTTGAATATATGTTAAAAGTAAATAGATAAAACCATATGACCACACTTTTTATTATTCTGATTTAATTTTAACAAAAAAAAATTTACAAAAGAGTTTAAATGAAATTAATTTAAAATTTAAGAGGTAAAGAGAGTTTTTAAAATTTTAAAAAATAAATTGAAATCCATCCTAAAATTTAAAGAAGCAGTACTAGTGGCGATTTATTCCTTATTTCTGAAAATAAAAAGGGGATTCATTGTCTTAAAGATATCTCCGTTGCCTGCCCCCGCTTGATCGGCACAACAGTTCGGGTGGAGTGCCATTCGGAGAAAGTTGCCGGTTGGATTTCGTCATATATATATATATATATATATACATACACATATATATAATTTATATTAATTTTAAATTAAATATATCCATGAAATAAATTCATTGTCACAGGCATACTTTATGTCGCTTATTACATACCTAATTTCATCATAAGCAATTAAGATGCGCTGTTCTATTTTCTTGTGTTATAGGCTATTCTTCTAATTTAATTTAGACACTTTATAAATTACTTAAGTATTTTTAGTTTTTAATTCCCGTTCATGTGATCATATTATTAATTTAAAGGACATGATAACTAGAGACAACATATCTAGACTTATAAGAAGATGAAGAATTCAAATACTAACTTTGAAGTTAAAAAAAAAATAGCATCAATGAAAAATATTAAAGCCCTGTTCTTTCACAATTCAAATTATAATTTAAAATTTTGGTTACAATACTTTTCTCACAAAATTTAAATTTAATTTTTTATTATAATATTTTCTCCCATATAATTATATTTTTCAATTCAAATTCTTAACTTGAACTCATGAAAAAAATGAACCCTTGAATAAATCTATTAAAGAATCCAATGTATAAATGAAACCTTTAATTAAAAATAAAATAAAATATTGCAAGACCGTTTGGTGAATTTCGACATTCTCAGGTCTGACCATTAAAAATCAATTTTCCACAAAAAACCACTAAGATCAATTCCATGAAAAAAGGGCTTCCTTTATAGTGCATCTCAAAATTGTGACCCACTGGTGAAACAATTACTTTTATCGTTAAATTAATTTTTTGACGGTCGGATCCGTAACAAGAACAGTTCTGTATAACGTGCTGTAAATTTTTAATACAGAGATGTACAAATTTCACTGTTAAAAATTAAATCTAACAATAAAAAATACTTGACCCCGTCAAGTTTCTCAAAAGAAATAATCAAAGTTAAATAATTAGGGAGATTTTTTAGTACGTCTGACATGCTAATAGATGAAGTTTTTTTAACCGTTAGATTTGCATACTTTCTGACTTTTATATGATTTTATACAGATCTAACAGACAAAAAACTTAACTTATATAGATACGTTGACGTACCAAAAAAATCATTATTAATTAATTATGCATGGGCATTTTGCTGATAAAGTAATAAGACTTTAAGAAAAAGAAAAACATGCAGAATATTCTGCCCAACCGTGTGAAACATCATTGGTTTTGTAGTATTTATTTACTCCTATTTATTTTATAGAGATTTTTTTGTAGGCCTGTTTGTTGGTAACGTCAATTTTTAATTATTAGATTAAAATAAAATCAGATTAAATTAAAAATTATATAAAATAAATAGTTTTTATTATAAATTTAACAGTAAAAAAATAAAAATAAAAACTCTCTCTCTCTCCTGGATGCAGTATGGTGGTAGTCTATATCTATATACATGTCCTCTCTCTCTCTCCTGGATGCAGTATGGTGGTAGTCTATATCTATATACATGTGCTCTCTCTCTCCTGGATGCAGTATGGTGGTAGTCTATATCTATATACATGTGCTCTCTCTCTCCTGGATGCAGTATGGTGGTAGTCTATATCTATATACATGTCCTCTCTCTCTCTCCTGGATGCAGTATGGTGGTAGTCATATCTATATACATGTGCTCTCTCTCTCTCTCTCCTGGATGCAGTATGGTGCTAGTCTATATCTATATACATGTGCATGTATTTATATATAAATAGAGCAGCAGTAGCTGTTGAGATTCTCAACGATTTAGTACACCTACCGATTATGTTAAATTTTTTAAATGTTAGGTTTATATATTTTTTAATTTTTACGTAATTTTATATAAATTTAATAGATAAAAAACTTAACGTGCACCAGAGATAGTCCTAATTAATTAGTTATGCATGGGCATTTTGCTGAAAAAGAAAAGCATGCAGAATATTCTAGCCAGCTGTGTGAAACGTCATTGGTTTGTAGTATTTATTTACTCCTATTTATTTTATAGAGATTTTTTGTAGACCTGTTTATGGATAATGTCAATTTTTAATTGTTAAATCAATTTAAAATTTTATTAAATTAAAAAATAATATAAAATAAATAATTTTTGTTATAAATTTAACAATAAAAAATAAAAACTACAAATAATTTCATTTTTTTGGTCTTTTTTTTCTTCAAAATGGATTTGTACGAATACCGTAATATAGAAAACGTTTTCTCTTAGCTGTCACACTGACGTGGTCATAATTTCATCCACTGGCACTTTGAACTCTCACTTGATTTTTGGAAGATAGTTTGCTTTTGGAGAAAAGGACATCAGCACGTGAAAAATTAAGGAAAAAAAATGAAAATACCTGTTAAAAAAAAATATTTATGTTACTATATTAAAAAATAAACTATTGTTATTGAATTAATTAGAAAAAATAAAAAATCACAACAATATCTCATGATTTAAAATGATATAAATAATAGAATTATATATCATGTATTTTTTTTCTAAAATAATAGATCACATTCCAAGTCTTTTTTTTTTTTTTTTCAGTTACATGCGCATGAAACAATATTTTTTGCAATTAATAGCATTGATGACACTACTATTCGGTGCTAACATTAGATCTACATTTATTATCAATTTCAAATAATGATTTAAGATTGTAAGGCCACGTAACATCCGAGTCTCCACTCCAAAGCAACTTTGCAAATTGCTCGTTGGCTTTCTCAGTGGCGTGACCAGAGTCAAAGAAGAGAAATTCACGTGGATTCTCACATAAATCATAGCCATTCATGACTTTTCCACAAGTTGGAAGGCCTCTGTAGATACCAGAACCACAACATGCCATTTTCCCGGCCGTGAAACCTTCATATAAACAGTGAGATGTACAAATTCAACCATATATTTAAGTTGTCAAAATCAAAAGATAATAATATAGAAAACAGAAAATGGGATTCCTCCCGTGAGGATGAATCCCCATTACTCAAGTAACGATGAGTCTTAGGCTCTGTTCATTTCACCGATTTGAATTTAGAGTTCGAGTTTTACTACAGTAAAAAGTTTTCAAAAATAGTAACATCTAACTTTCTTACTATAGTAAAAAGTTCTCATATAAAATCACATCTAAACTCGAATTAAAAACTCAAATTAGTAAACTAAACGAGTCCTTACTCTGTTAAACTTCCACCTATCCACGTAGTGAAACTAATCTCATGTGAATACTAGCGTTTGTCTAAGTGAGATGAATGAGCATAGCTATACAGCTCCGCGGAGCTGCGGCTCCGCACTCACAAAGGGCCCCACTTGGGCTCTACAAGGACATAGGGCTCACCTATTTAGCTTTTTTCGAGATGAATATGATTGCTAGTAGAAAAATAACACCTTATCATGTTTCTTTTTTCAATTACCGTATTTTCGTGGGTTGTTAGATCTGTCACTAAAAGAAGTGAAGAAGTCGTGAGTTGAGTGTTTGAAATCTTTGAGATGGTTCTCTAGCTTTTGGAGAAGTTGAGACAGTGCAATGTTGTGTTGCTTCGCAATTTCCACGAGTTCTTGCGCGCAGCCATTTGTTCTCGGCGGATCAAATGCCCTAACCCAAGGAAGACAGCCTATTGGCGACAAGCCTAGAAACGCAAATTTTCTTCCTCCTTTGTTGTATATTTCCTGTGCTCACAAGTAGTACCTATATATAAGTGATTGTAAAACATATATACTTTCAAATAGAATAAAGATTACCTCCTTTCTCTATAATTATTATCAGTATGGTTCTTCTTTGGCAGGGGATATATTAAATATTTTTCTTGAAGCATATAAATAAAAATAAAAAAAAGAAAATATGAAGTTCAATGGAGGCGTATATGTAAAGACCGTATTTTCATAAGGTAAAACTAGAAAATTACAAAAGCTTAAAAGTGCATTTTGTGGTGAAAGAGGCTATTTTATTCCGCCGATAAGGAAATGTGTTTTAACTATTGAATTAATTTTTCAACAGTTTGATTTGTAGTATGAGTAATTGTGAGCAATTGTGTGTCGCACGCTGTAAACTCTTAATATGGACATGCACAGATCTAACCGTTAAAAAATTAATCCTCAACACTTAAAAATAATAATTCATACTGATAAAGTAAAATAGCTTATTCTACCGTAAAGATTACTAAATTTTAAAAGTTATTTTAAAAAACACAAAAACTGGGTGAGGATGGTGCCCACTTCCCTTCAAGTGGCTCCACCACTGAATATTATTATTATTTTGTATGCACCCTCCCGTTAGTTGGTTATAAAATATTATTAGTACAATTATATTGCATATATATTATAACCTAATTAATCTAAACAATTCTTTTTTTTTTGGTGCTCCGCGGAAAACAATTTCTAGCTTTATTACCGTCAGTATATCATATCTTGTAGAAAATTAATGAAATTAAGATAATATATGCTATTACTTGGATAGCGTTTGTCAAATTGCCAATGAGCCTGCCGATGTATTCTTTTTGAACGTGTTGTGACCGGAAGAACCTTGAGTTTTCTTGGAAGGGAGCAAAATAATCGTTGCTTCCAATGTTAAATAAGTAAACAGCCGAGGACAACAGTGCCTTGGCTTCTTCATCACCTAGCTTTTCCCTCAAATGCTGCTCAACGTTCATGAAATTTCTCAACTGGTCTCTGAGGTTTATAACCTGCAGATCATCAGCAAATCAACAGTAGAAAAATGAAGATTACATGTACAATTGGTTTGTAATTTCTTGAACATATATACTTGAGATCATAAACGATATATATATATATATATGAAGATATTTATAATAATTGAATTTATAAGGACATGAGGTTTATCTTAAAAGCACTCACAGAAGCAGTTAAGGCCCGGCGGGGGCAAATATTTTATTTTTAGAAAAGTTAGATGTAACTGTTTTTAAGAATTTTTTACTGTAATAAAATTTAAATTTTAAACTCGAATTAGTGAAATGAATGGGGCCTAAGTATTAGCCTTCTGTCACTATTTTAAAGGTCAATCTATTATTGGAAGACTAAATACTATATAGTTATGAATATATATTCACTTTTAAATGATATGAGACACGGATTTATTTCTATTTACACCTATATTATGGGATATAGGAAAATAGTAGAAAATATGTCAATATGAAAAGCTTCAGGAAGTATATAAGCCAACTTTTAATTATAGAAATTAATAGGCCATAACTTCTCAAGTTATGGTTCATAACCAGATAAGTTATGGACAAATTTGCCAAGTTATGGTTCATAGCCAGACAAGTTATGGACAAAAACCGTGATTTATAGACAATAACTTGTCAAGTTATGGTTCATAACTAGACAAATTATGAACGAAAACAGTAATTTGGCCTATTTATTAACTCATGTAAACTATTGACCTATTAATTTTAATTCATCTCAAATCTTAGCATATTTTCCTCTTTCTCCCTCGGATATATATATATATATATATATATATCAGTCACGGTCCATATTTGATATTTGAGTAGTTTACACGAAATGGAAATTGTTAGTAGGATGGTTACTTACGTAACCTGGATGAGTGTCATCTAGAACACCGCCCCCAATAGACGCAAAGTTTACGCCATACTCCCACTTTTGACCAGGTTGTAAATATGGTGGAATCAGTGGCAATCCTGCATACTCACCTAAAATTAACAGAAAAAAAAAGACATAGTAACAATCATTTTTTTTTTGTTAATAGATTATACATGTACGTATATACAAGTATTTGTAACAGATCATATAATATAACTTATAAGCTTACTAATGAAATCAGGGATTATTCGGCCATCGGTAGCCCTCCCTGTGGGATAACCAAAAAAGGTTTTTCCGTACGGAGAGAAGTTAGCTTTGAATCTAAGGAGAGTATCGAAGTAATTGTTGTTGCCGGAATCGAATAGCGAATCGCCGAAGACGAACAAGGCCGAGTGTTTTGGCGGAAGCAAGTTGTCCCGGCAGCCACTTGCGGTGTTGATCAGTAGTACAATATTAAGCAAAAGGGCTGCAAAAACAGCCCACGAGAACATTCTGGCTCTCATCGTTAGTGTTTCCTTGCTGAGCTCTCTTATCTTATTGTGTGGATGCAATACTGTGCTAGTCTATATCTATATGCTGTGCATGTATATTTATATAAATAGAGCAGCAGTAGCGTGTCCAGTTCTTATCGGTAGTGACCCACCTCTGAGTTGTAATAAAAGAATTGAAATAAATTTAGCGGCCCGTCCGAGGTCAACTTGTTATTTGATCACAAAAAACACGTTTTCAAGAAAAATAACCTCGTACAATAATTTAGTTTGTTCTTGTGATGCAGTATGGTGCTAGTTTATATCTATATGCATGTAGTGCTAGAACTTTAGACGGGCCACCCACGACCGCCCGAAAAAATTGAGTTTTTACTCGAGTCCGAACCCGACCCACCCGAAAAATTTAGGCCGCCCGCCCGAGCCCGAATTTTGCCTTGAACGGGCCGCGGGCTTGTAATAGGCCGCCCGAGCCCGCCCGATTTGCCCGAATGTTTTTTTAAATATTTTTTAGTTTTTATAATTATTAAGTTAGTTTGTGTTAAAATTATGTAAAAATCAAAATCAACATTCAATAGACATTATTAACACAATTGAATAAATTAATTATGTATATTATTGATGTATTAAATTCGTAATTTATGATTGTCTTGTTAAAAACCTTACTAAGAAAAACCCAATTGGGATAAAAACTTGGCAAGGAAAAAAGAGTACAATCATTTTGTGACAAATTATAAATTTTACAAACTTACAAAGTTATAGAATTACAAATACAATGTCAAAGTAAATAAATATTTACAAATTAAAAATATACAATTTAATTTGAAGCTGAAGGATCGTCTTTAAAATTAAATGTTAATCGATTAAATTCATCAATCCATTATTGGCTTGCTGGCGAAATTGTATCTTGTAGACGTTGATCGGCCCGATCCCAATCCTTAATGTAAACCAAGGCTCAACAATATCTCTTTGCAATGCATTCCGGCGTTCCTCAGTATTCTTCCTGTCGTACTGAAGGCTTGTTCGGATGAAACAGTGGAGACTGGGATCAAAAATATATAAATTACCAATCGAGTTAGGATTGGCCAAGTTAGTGTCCGTGCCCTCCACCATTGAACTAAGTCAAACGATTCTGCCGTACTGTGGACTACTAAGCCTTCACTGAGGTACGCCATAAGCTCGTTGAAGCTGCCGCCGCCACTGCCACTGCCACTTGTTGACGAAGATTTACTCACAGCTTCTGTTTGAGTTGTCTTCTTCTTCTTCTTCTTCAACCCGAAAACATTCAAGAATGAATGTGGGTTTTCGTCTTATTGTTGCGTTTTCTGTACTCTATGAGGTACTCTAAACCTAATATCATATTTACTATAGATC